TAAAATTTAATTAAAAAAAAAAAGAAGAGGCTGTGGCACTACATGTGCATTTGCTAATGCGAGATGGATCCTGGCTGAATAACAGAAAAATGTCTATTTATGCTTTATTGACTATGCATAACAAGTTATGGCTGACATTGAGAAGAATGGGAATGTCAGAGCACTTAATTGTGCTCATGAGAAACTTATAACTAGACCCAATAGGCTGTTGTGTGAACAGAACAAGGGAACACTACATGGTATAAAATTTTTTAAAATCACCACCTCTTTTAAAAATAAAGATGCTATAAGCAAAATGAAATTCCTTTTTTTAACTAAAGCATTATACTATATAAACCATGATGAAAATGTACTTTAAAATTCTTCAGAGAAAAAAAGAATTTATTTTCTTAATATCTAAATTTACTAAACATCAACTAATCCATTTGCATGGGTATTAATATTATTTCTTATGGGTAAGAAGGTTACAAAAAATTAATGTACAGTTAAGACAGGGAAAAGATACTTGAACAGTCTTAAAGCATGTACACACACCCTAGTCAAAACTAAAACTTTATTTGATGATTTGGAATCTATTATTTCCCCAACGTTGGTCCAAAACAAACATTAAAAACTTGAAACAGTTTCTACTACACACAAAACAAACATAGTGATGGGGTATTTCTAATATTCCTTTTTATTTACCATTTAATCCAAGCTATAAAGCCAAAGTATTAAAATGATCCCCTCACCTACAAAATATTAACACAAATATATTTTTTTAAAAAACAAAACTAAACAACATTTATTTGATGAGATGGGGCATTGATCAACAGGAAATAATTCTATAGTATACAATGTTTATAAATGATTATACAAAACACAATGTATATGAAACATAATATTTATGAATGATTGTATGAAAACTAATTTTTTTAATAAAAAGATTTAATCTCTCAGTAAAAGTAATTATATAAATGGTATTGTACTTACTCCAAGGGTCAAAGATTTGGAGCTATATAGGCCTAAAGATAAACTTCTTATCACTCACTAGGTTTATAAACTCAGGCAAATTCCTGAACCCAATACATTTCTATTTTCATGCAAAATGGAGGTAAAGATATCTATTCCAAACACATAAAGATGCCACTGTTTATAATGTACTGCTGTCAAGTCAAAACTGACTCACAGCTGGCTTCCCATGAGATTTCTGGAGGTTGTAAATTACACAGGAGAGTATGAATACCTATTTTTAAAAAATCACCACCAATTAACCACATACAAATAAATCAGAATGAACGATGAAACGCAAAGGTAAATGTTACATGGAACTGCTAAGAAAATACTGACATTTACTAAAAGAGCTAAAATAAATAAGTATAATATGAAAACTAGGGGGAAAAACAGTTAAGTCCAATAAATAGCAAAGTTCAAAGGATTTAAGTTTTTAAAAATACTGTTTCCCCTTGATCTACCTACTCAGCTCCCTACGCAAATCTTAACTTGTTACAACAATAGTCAGAGAAAAAATAGAAAGTATTAGGTAAATAAACTATTTGTCAGAAAACCAAAAACTCCTTTAAACTTAAATCTTTATACAACTAAACACCTCCACTATAAAGGAAGAAAACTTTTCCAGCACGGAAATACAGCGTTCTTTGATTATGGCCTGCTGAAAAGCAGTTACAAAATACAGTTCTAACAGACTCTAACCATTCTATGAAAGAATATCACAAGTTGAAATGCAATTGAAATATAAGAGTAACAAAAAATAATTAATTCATGTAAGAACAAAAACTAAACCTAAATCCATTTTGACTAAATATAAGTCCATTTTGATTACTGGACCAACTCTTGACATTCTACTTGCAACACTAACGCAAACATCCTTCATTTACTCTTCCACAAACTTCTACTGCATACTGTGAGGGTTAAAGCTGTGTGTTAAACTGGCTGCTCATGAATCTCTGGTTTGGCGAGTTACAGTGTGGTCATTCCCTTCATGAAATCTGACAAAAGGTACTCACATCCAAAACTAGGTCTACTGGGAATATCTAATCAGAGGGCAAAAACAGCTACGGCTCCTCCTAGAGCACAATTAAGAAACAGCTACTGCCAATCCTGACCTGCCAGCAGGTTTTCCAGGGCTGTAAATTACACGGGATGAGATTGTCCACCATCGTTCTTCCCCAGAGTGACTGGTGGTTTCCAACAGGCAGAAAGTGTGACCTTGTGGTGAGCAGCACAACTCACAACAAACTATACCACCAGAGTTCCCTAATGAGGACTACTGTGGGAGGAAAAACAAGTAAAAAGAAAACCATCAGAAACTGTGACCAATATAATGATAGTGGGGAAACAGTCCTAGACTACAGGCAGATCCAAAAAAGCTTCAATGCGCTCAAAGGGACAACTAGGTCCATTATAGACAACAAAGTCCATAAATAAAAATTTCTTCTTCCCACTTTGGGAAGTTGGACTTAAAAGCTTACAAGTGGCCATCTAAGATACAACTACTTTGTCTCTGACATACCTACCCCCATTACCCCAATCACTGAATCAATCCATCTCATCGGGGTCTTCCTCTCTTGCGCCATCCCTCCACCCTCCCAAGCATGATGTCCTTTTCCAAGGACTGAACTGAGAAGAGTAAAGAAAAATCAAAGGCTTATGGAAAGAACTAGTCCCAGGACTAACAAATCACACAAACCACAGTGCTCACTAGTCTGAGACTAGACTAGATGGTGCCCTGTGAGGGTTAATACTGTATGTAAACTTAGCCTTGATTCTCAGTATAATCTAATTATCTACCATGTTGTTCATGACAGATGGTGGAGAGACTGAGATTGTTGACAGCTTCAGTTTGCTTGGCTCTACAATCAACACTCTTGGTACCAGTAGCCAGGAAATTAAAAGACAAACTGCACTGAGAGTCTGCTGTCAGAGACCTCTCCAAAGTACTGAAGAGCAATAACATCAGTCTGGAGTCTAATACAGGCCACAGTTACTTGCTATGCATCAGAGAGTTGGACAATGACTAGGGATGATAGAAGGAGAATTGATGCTTTTGAGCCTGGTGCTAGAGAAGAGTACTAAATGTACCATGAACTGCTAAGAGAACAAATAGGTTTGTTCTACAGAGCGTGAGACCAGACTGCTCCTTGATCTATTTCCCTAAAGATTACACCTAGAAAACACAAACTTGAGACTCCAAAGCTCATGAACCCACTACACTGCACTCCACTGAAAAAGTCAAGCATTTGGTACTAATATTTGAGATGGTGTGTCCAAATGCATTACAGGCAAGCATCTATTTCTAAGGACTCTTTGAGAAAAGAACTATTTTCCCATAACTTTTCAATATGTAAGAATGCTTATTAAAAGTTATAGCTCTGTTCAAAGTAGTTAAATCTTCCTGGAGTGAATTTCTTCATGATCTGAAAAATAATGACATAGTTAGTGCTTTATTCCTCTGGTTTCCTTCCTAACCTACATACATCCACTCCAGGTACAGCCTTCCATTATCGACCTCCTGCTTGGCCCGTAGCTTAGCTTGCTGATAAACTTCTGAAGCTTCCGGTTCACAGAGACCCAGCTGCACAATATTAGGAAATGGCTGTCGTCCAAGAAGGTGTCCATTTAAAGATAAAAACTCCTGAAAATTCTCACAGACTGTGCAATCCTGTGAACAAGATGAAAATCTCTTAGAAATATAACTAGAGCTAATATCTGACATTTTTCTGTTTCTGTGATCTTGTCACTTTATAGGCTGACAGACATTTTCTATATGAAATAAAATTGAAAAGCCAACCATTTATGGAAGAGATTATTAGAAATCTTCTGACTTTGGGAATGTAATATAAAAAAAAAAATCTTATTGTCAAAGTACTATTTTTTAACACATTGAAAACCACTGAACATTACTTTTTCAAACTTTAATCCCATCCACATTCCTATAACACCAGGTAAAAAGGTAGTAAAGAAACTCAAAATAATTAGGAAGATTATCTTTCTTTATTCTATTTTGCTCATTCTAACTATTATATCTAGAATTAAATATCAAAATAAAACATCCCATAAACATGTATTTTTCATATTAGTATATACCTTTTCATCCAATATATGTCTATATTCTACAAATTCATGAATCAGATGAGCAGGGCCTACAAGTTCTGTTTTTGCTTTAATCCAATCCAGGGAAAACATTAGAGCACACAGTTCCTTTAAAAAAAGAATAAAAGTAGGATTAGTAGCAGTGTTAGAGAGAGCTGAAATTTTTAACTATACTAGTACTATATTATAGGAAGACTATCCTAATACTGAAACTTAGCATATATCTACAGTTTAAGAATTCAAAAGAAGAAAGTGAAAAGTCACATATCAACAGTCCCAAAGAAACATAAAGTAGACCTAATATATTAATCAAAATATATTTTAGATAGATTAGAAATTTTTTAAAATACACATAAATACTTTTGTAACCATGGTTCAAAGATTTTTTAAAAAAAAAACAAGGTAGCACTTCAACATATTAAAAAAAAAAGTGGCTTCTGGTGGTTGACTAAATAGACCGAGACACAAATCTTTCAACAGACAGTGAAAAGTAAAGAAAAAGAGTTATGGATGATCATCCCGGCACCCTGAACTTGGGAGAAAACTACTGAGAGGAAAATTAGACATTGATTTAGGGAGGGAACTGAAGAGACAGATAAAGCAGATAACTGTGAAGGATACCAGTACCATACATCTGCTCTCAACTCTCTTTGCAGAGGCTCCTGGGAACCCTGCAGAGATCCAGAATTACAGCAGAGAGGCACCAGCATCTGGCTTACATCAAGTAAAAGGACAGAAGGAACTCCCTTTATCCTCTATTCACATTCGGGTCAACAGAGTGATCTTCTATCAGAAGAGGCAGGATTTCTGATTGCCACAAGGCAACTCTTCTGACAGGCTTACACCACTTTATATGTGGTGCTAGGAGTTCCTACACAAACACAGTGGTTCACAGCTCCCAGCAAACTCTGACTGTCTCTGCTGTAAAAGACACCAGTTCCTAAGCCTCCCAGGCCATATCCACCACTGGTCCCCTTTCCACACCAGCCCTGATATAGGCCTAGGAGCCTCATGCCACCCTAACCCATGACTCCACAGCCTCGTGCCAGGCTTGAACTTGCCTACCACACATAAGCTTAGTGGTTCAGAGAACCCAGAAAACACTGAATCCTTTTGTTAGGCAGCATCAGAGAAAGGCAATAGTTTATTAAGCCCCAGGACTAACTGCCCATTGCAGGCCCCATGACATAGTGGATTAAGTTATCCAGCCACCCTCCTCTACCACAAACAACTGAAATAAATACAAACACAACACCAGCACAAACATTAATTAAGATAAAGACATGAGCATTTCATCTGCTATCACACACTCCACAGAGGAAAGGAAGTTAAAGACTACAAACACAAAACTACCATAATGTCCCAGAGGCAACAGATAACTCCAAACTCTATGAAAAAAGCAAAGTATCATCCTCCCCAAAAAAAGAGATAAAATTACAGAATAAGTAGATTTTTCAAAATGAAGAAAAGCTGTTGGAGCTTTCTAATATTCAAAAGAATGATATTCAGGACTGAGGAAAAGTGAAAAAATTGCAAGAAACCAGAACTAAAAATTTTAAAAAGATAAAACTTTAAAATAATTTTAAAAATCAATGCAAGACCAAATAAACAAAACCAATGGAAAATTAGAAGCCACAGGAAAACAGGAAATTGAAATCCAGAACAACATCATAAAAATTTGAGAAAATAATAATTGTCTGTTTTAACAGTTTCAACCTCCTCGCCATCCATCATGATGTTGCCTATTAGTCCAGTAGTAAGTCTTTGTTTTCTTGACATTGAGATGCAATCCATATCAAAGCCTGCATCCCTTGATCTTCTGCCAAAAAGTGCTTCAAGTCTTCCTCACTCTCAGAAAGCAAGATTGAGTCATCTGCATTATGCAGGTTATTGATGAATCTCTAATCCTTATTCCATACTCTTCTTCATGGAGTCTAGCTTCTTGGATCATTTCCTCAGTACACATAATGAATAGGTATGAAGGCACAATAGAATCCTGACACACTCTCTTCTCAATTCTAAACCATGCAGTGTTCCCCTGCTCTGTTCACACAACAGCCTTCTGGTCAAGGTCCAGATTCTGCATGAGCACCATTAAGTGCTCTGGGACTCCCATTCCTCTCAATGCCAGCCACAACTTGTGATCTACACCATCAAATGCCTTTGCAGTCAATAAAGCACAAATTCTTCTAGCATTCCTTCCTTTCAGCCAGGATCCATCAACATCAGTGATGATATCCCTGACGCCAAAGCATCTCCTAAATCCCACTTGACCATCTGGCAGTTTCCTATCTTTGCACTGTTTTAACCATTTTGGAATGATTTTCAGCAGTATTCTGCTTGCATATAATATTAATGATATTACTCAACAGTTTCCACATTCAGTTGGATCACCTTGCTTGGGAATGGGAACAAATATAGATCTCTTACAAAGTCAAAACCAGACCAGGAGCAGACTGTAGGTCAGATCATCAATTACTTGCAAGTTGAAATAGAGGCAGAAGAAAATTAAAATATGTCCACTGGAGCCAAAATATGATCTTGAGTCAATTCCATCTGAATTTCAAGATGATCTTAGGAATAGGTTTGAGGCACTGAACACCAGTGATTGAAGACCAGATGAGGTATGAGATGATATCAAGGATAACATCCATGTAGAAAGCAAAAGGTCATTATAAAAACAGAAGTTGAAATGGATGTCAGAATAGATTCTAAAAACTGCACCAGAGTATCGAGAAGACAAAACAAAAGGAGAGCATGTCAAAGTAAAAAAACTGAACAGAATTTCAAAGCGTGGCTCGGGAGGACAAAGCAAAGTATTACAATGACATGTGCAGAGAGCTGGAATTGGAGTATAAAGAGGGAAGAACTTGTTCTATATTTCTCAAGCCAAGAGGACTGAAAAGCAAATTTGAGCCTCATAATACTGAAAGATGCTTTGGGCAATGTATTGAATGACTAGCAGGTATCAAAAGAAGATGGACAGGGTACACAGAATCACTGTACCAGAAAGAATCGATCGACACTGAAAAATTTCACAAGTACCATAGGAACTTATGCCAGTGGAGGAGGAAGTGGAAAATGCATTGAAGGCATTGGCAAAAAATAAGCCCCCAGGAATTGATGAGATACCAACTGACTTGTTTCAATTAATCGCTGCAGCCTTGGATGAGCTCACCAGTCCATGCCAGAAAATTTGGAGAACAGCTGTCTTGCCAACACATTGAAAGAAAACAGGAAGAAATTTATTTTTTAAAAAAATGGCACCTAGAGAAGATGGCGCTGAAAGCAAAGAAGGAAGTCCCTACCCTTCCCAAAACTGAAGCCAAAGCAAAGGCATTAAAAGCCAAGAAGGCGGTCCTGAAGGGCATCTACAGTAAAAAGAAAAAGAAGGTCCACATGTCACCCACCTTCCGGCGGCCTAAGATGCTGAAACTCTGAAGACAGCCCAAATATCCCCAGAAGAGCGCCCCCAGGAGAAACAAGCTTGACCACTATGCCATCATCAAATTTCCCCTGATCACTTAGCCAGCCATGAAGAAGATAGAAGACAACAACCCACTTGTGTTCATTGTGGATGTCAAGGCCAACAAGCACCAAATTAAACAAGATGTAAAGAAGCTCTATGACACTGATATGGCTAAGGTCAACACTTTGAGTAGGCCTGATGGAGAGAAGAAGTCTTATGTTTGACTTGCTCCTGACTATGATGTTTTGGATGTTGCCAACAAAATTGGGATCATCTAAACTGACTCCAGCTGGCTAATTCTAAATACAAATTTTTCTAACAAAAAAAAAGGGCACCTAGAAAATTAAGCAATGAATACCGTATTGGAACAGATGAAGGAAAGAACTGTTTAAATCAACATATGATTAGTTAGGCATTATACATATGACAAGAGCTCAGAATAAGAGGTACACTGCAAAGAGGACTGGTGGAGGGGTAGGGAGGTAATTGTGCAACAATGAACGAATATTAAAAAAAGTGAACTGGGGATTGGGGAAGGGAGGGAGAAAGAGTAATATGTTCAACAATGAATGAGTGAAAATCTAACTTTTCTGTAAACTTTTGTTAAAACCACAATTAAAATATAAATTTTATTAAGAAATGAAATTCTTAAAGATTTACTGGAAAAAATCTTCCAAGGTATTATGAAAAATGAGGAAAATATATATTCAAGAAGCTGAGTGAACAAGCAGGACAAATCTCAAAAGAAAAACACAAAGATATGTCAAAATTAAATTCTCCAAAACCAAAGATAAAGACATAACATGGACAACAGCTCAAGAAAAATGAAGAGTTACCTACAAAGGAGATTTAAAAGACGAAGGGCCAATTCCTCAGGAGAAACCATGCTGGCAAGAATGCAATGAGATGACACATGTAAAATTCTCAACCAAGAATCCTATACCCAACAATACTGCCCATCAAATAAGACCATGAAATTAGGACATTCTCAGGAAAGCAGAAAGTCAAGGTATTCATGAAAGAAGACCAACTTCACATACTAAAAAATACTAATGGCAGTTCTTCACACAAAGACAGCACAGAAGATGGAACATATAAAAACAAAACAGAAAAAGAACAGCAGTAAAACCAGGCCTATCATTGTTTTTGTTAAGTGCCGTAGAGTTTTAGATGATGACTCATAGCGAACTCTATGAACTAAAGACCTGAACACTTGTATAACTTTCATCGTTTCTCCACGTTCATAGAGTTTCCGGAGGCAAGCTATTTCAGAAACGGATGCCACTCCTGCTTCCAAGTTTGCTTTAATTGGGAATCTCCACCAAACACTGTCCACCATAGGTAACCATTATCACATTTAATACATCAGTGTCACAGTGCTTAACATCACAGCAACCATGACTTACCTCTGTACAGCAAATGAACAGACCAGTGCAATACTACGCCGATCATTAAGTAAACTTAAAGTGGATGGATTAAATGCAACACTCAAGATAAAAAGTACCAGAATGACTAAGAAAACAACATCAATAAGATGTCTATAACAGGCATATCTGAGGCATAAAAATTAAGAAAGAATAAAAATCAAAGGTGAATGAAAAAAAGGCATCAAGGAGGTGGTAATTAAAAAAAAAAACAC